ACACTATGCATTATTTTTTAGGATATGGTTATAAGTATATACTTATGACTCTTTTTTAATTTAATAGTTGATAAATAAATCTAAAAAAGTAATTTTTTCCCATGTTTCCCCGCGTTTGGACATTTAAATTTATTAATTTAATAACATAATCATTACACTTTATAAAAACTTAAAAACTTAAAACAACAATTTTTCTTATAAGAATGAATGGCATAGTTTAAAAGTAAACAGATAAAAATAGCCTCTTTATCTTTTTTTTTAACTCTAGCACGAAGATTTAACTGTCTACTTACTGCATACTTTGCACTGAATCCACCCATCAACCAATAATATAGATCTATTCACCGATACACTTCGAATGGTATACCTATATACGTACGTAAAGCTTTCGGTTGTATATGTATATACCTACTTACAAACCTATTTTATACACTTATTTATATACTAAAATAATGTACAGAACTTAAGCATAAAAATGTTCATAACCGTTTTACATATTTTATATTGAACAAATAAAAATATATTTCAAAAAAAAATTATACCTAAGTAATTATTTATAACGATTAATTTATAACAGGCATTTGGACAAGATTATGTTTATATTTAGTTGATGAGGTAATTATTTTAATTTCTAAGAAAAAAAAACTTTATTTCATAATTTTATATGACCAATGACAAAATAAATCCAGTTTTCATCAGATAATTTTATAACAGGTACCTACCTTCAATTTTAAATATTATAGCAATGTCCTAACTGGGCCCCATGTTTCCCAATATATCTATTATAGATACTTTAGACGAAGTTCCTAGTAGATAACCAATAATAGTCCACTTTGATAATAATCACTAAAAAAATTTACTTTAATCCTTACATTTTCATAAATCTGATTTTATAAATCACTAGTCATTTTAATAGTAATACATTTTGATCATCAAAGTACCTATCTCTATTAGGCGGGAATACAATAGGTGGTAGGTACTCGCCTATAATATAATACTCATTGACTCATTGTAGTATAGGTACTATATAATATAAATTATCAATACCAATGGTTCATTAACACAGTATTGTAGTATAAATTAAATGTCGAAAATGATGAATATAAATAGATGTATGAAATTTAAATTAAAATAAGTATAGGTAATGAAAATGCTGACAAGATGTGAAAATCGAATAAAATTAATTGAATACATTGCTTACATTACGTGTATGAAATATATATATATATATATATGAGAATACTATATAAATTAAAAACTTTACTACGTAAGGATATACATTTTAAAACTCCAAGTCGATTTTTTTTCCTGAAACCTTGATAACTCAAAAACTTAGTAAATCGAAAAATTTCATTTCTCTTGAATTTCGATTTATCGAGGTTCTTCTGTCTTAAGTATACAACGATGTTCAATTAAAAATCTATGGAGTAAACTAGTAAAGGTACTAAGCGATGGAGTACAAAAGCCTACATGGACGGCTAGAAAGAAAATTTATTTTATCCGCCGAAACTACTTACTTTGGAAAAAGTTTTATATTGATTCCGCTGACTACAGTTTATATATTTACACATTGATTCCGTCAGATACTGTTCATCTTAACTATAAGTACTAATTTTCTCGCGATATCGAAAAGAAACATTATTTAAAACGACGCCCCTCCTCCCTTGTATACTTAAAATTAAGTGATTTTGAAGTGTATAGGTAGTATATTTTTATAATTGACAATTGTACAGTTATAAATTATAATATTATTGATTAATACGTATATTATATTATTATATTATAAAATGTATGTTCTAGTCTAGTATAAAATAATTGTAGGTACCTAATATTGTACAATTCTAAAAAAAAAAATGTAAGTACAACTACTTTTGGTAAAATATTTGGATATATTTTAAATAATTGAACTTTGAAATTTTATTATCGTTCAAACATTAGATACATTTTCAATATATTATTGTTGTTTTTTTTAAAGCACTATTTCTGCTACTTTTTTTTTATATTTATTCCGTTGATATTATGTATGTAATTATTAATTTGTATTTTTGCAGGTATTTAATATCTAAAACATGAGTGAGTACCTAAATATGAAAATTTTTTGATGAGCTTTTGTTTTTTAATAATTTTATTTTGAATTGAAAGACTAATAGCCACTACTAATATACTTACCGATATTACTTCTCTTGATGCTCAGCGTGAATTGAATTTTATTCCTTTCTCACAAAAATGTTCAACCAAACAACAGTCGCAGAACTTTATTACCTTTTCGTCATATAGAAAAATTGGTAGGTATCAAATCTATAATAAAGCAATCGCTTACTTATTCTGGATTTAATGATGGTAAGCCGTGATGCATCTTTATATTATTTTAATGAGCCTAAGAAATATAAATTAATTAGGTATAATAAATAATACCGAAATAACATTATTGTGTGTATATTTCTGTTTCAATGTATTTTAATGAGACTTTGAATGTGTTTCCGCCAATTTTGTACTGAATGAAATTATCATTTTACTATCCGTATTTATGGCCTTATTATTTTTACATCAATATAAAGCTTCTTCAAAATCGGAAACTAATTTTGATGAAGTGAATAATGAATTTCTGAACATTATTTAACAACATACTTAAAGATGGTGCATAATATGTGTCTAACACTTAGTAAAAATTTTACGAATAGAATATAACGTCCGTTCTTGCAATATCTGATAAAAATGTTTTTTAGGTACAGTAGCCAGTAGGTAAATTACCATCTATAAACATTTGTTTACGGAACTCAGTAATTTAAAATTTGATCTTGTTTAAAAAACAATTAACATTTTTAACTAAATCAACAACAAGAATAAAGTTTTAAATGTTTTAATCCTGAACAAATTAAATTTGACACTCGTTCATTACGTTGATTACTTCTGTTCGATTTTTGAGCAGTTTTGGATATTATTATAATCTACGAGAGCTATTTAAACATCGAAAAATATTATTAATAGATGTACCTATAAACGTTTTTGTAAGTTTTGAATTGGTTAAAAGGACACTATTTATGATTTTTGAAAACCTTTCAAAACTGTCTTTCAATTTTCGTTTAAGTTCATTCGAAAATTATTTCTATATAGTTGATGCAGATTCATTCAGTTGAAATTATAATGTACACTTCCATTTTTAATGTTTTTTAATTTTTGATCTAAGTACCTACATATATTTTCGTAATACACTTTTCATTTATACATTGCCATTTAAAAGCATTTAAATAGTAAATACTTCACGTAATCTTTAAAACATTAAAAATTATTACACAAACTTAAATAATTTTCTTTTGTTCACTTGAAATTATAGAAAAGTTCACGATAAAAATTGTAATTAAGTTATAAGATAATACGAGTGTGCGACACTTGAAACACGTGGAACAATTTAGATAGCTAGATCGAAATTGTTTAAACAAAAAGTACTTTTAAGGAAAGTCTACATTTTAACAAGCATTTTAACCGTACTAATATAAATATAATATTATAGTCTTGAAGGTTTTGTAAATATTATAAGTGATAGCCGGGGGAATCGATACAAAATCGACAGAATCTATATTAGTACCGTTGGGGGGGACTAATCACCCAAACAGCAAATTCTGCATGCGAATATAGGTAGGTAATTGTGTTAATAGCAATAATTATAATTTTGTATATAAATAGGAATATAGTCTTATCGTTATTTAACCGTAATTTAGTTAAGACCCTAACTAAATTTATCATTATCAATCATAAAATCGTATAAACTAATTTCGACCTCTATGATCGAATCTAGAGGTGATGTTATTTGAATCTTACCATAACGTGTTTCCGTTGGATCATAACTTTCAAGAAACGAGAAACGTTTTAGAATTTTTCCTCAGATACGTTGCCGTACCCGATTAGTCAAAATTTCATTTTTAATTCTTTCAATATGTTCTATCAATTATATTTTATCAAATGAACCAAATTGGAAATTTATGCTGAATAAATATTTTTCGTTTAGAAAAAGCGTTTAAATCATAAATGGTACATGAACGACCTATCCCACTGTTATTTCCATTCCTACTTCAATAACGTTTTATGGGAATTTAACGTTATTCACCGATCATACAATAGTGGGAATAATATTGTTTTAGCGAATAACTATAATAACTGTAAGAAATAAGAAATTGTTATCAAAATCTCAAAATTAAATCTTCAAAAATAAAGTATTATTACTAGATACAATAGTGCTTGATATCGAATCTAATTGATAAATACAAAAAAGTATTCCTATACGCACCAAAAATGATCAAATATTCTCGTATAAACAATTATATATATAATAAAAAAAATTAATTTCATTTTAAGTTAATAAAATCCAAGCTTTTAAATTTGATTATTTTTGAATACTTGAATGACAAAAATTTACACATGCAGAATTTTACTAATAATATTAACTATGAATATATATTATATATTGTTTAATTCAACTGACAAAGAAGTTAATTAAGATAAAAAAATAATAGTAAAGACACATCAGTTAGTTAATGTATGGTGAAATGTTTATTAGAACATTCTTTATGTCTTTAAGTGTATGACAATCAGCCCTCTCGTCCTATATAACTACACATAATAGAAATACAATAACAAAAATGTCACATTGGGACATAAAATAAGAATGTCATACATTATATATTAATTAAAAATAATAATTTTTTTTTTTTTACAGGAAATAAAAAATACCAATGATCAACATTTTATTAAAAATAGTAATAATAAAAATAAACATTGGAGCTATGATCTTTGAAATCAATTTCTCACTTAAATAATAAAGATATACAAATATTAATTGTAGTTATATAGAAGTAGTCATTTAATCTATACAAGATAGTTTGCCAAAATTAGAATTTATAATTTGACTTAGTTTAATAAAACATAAAAATAATAGTAATAAGACGACAACATAATAAAATGAGTAACAAATTTGAATTATAAAAATAATACTACTTGAAAAACTCAGAAACTATTTTGTTTTAAAAAAAAAAACTTAATAAAAATTAATTTTAAAATTGTATCAAATTCAAGTAGATTATATTGATACATAATGAATTTATAATAAAATGTGTAATCTGCAGTTATTGAGTAAAATGCAGAAGTTACAACCAAAACGGATGTTATTTCAAAACAGTCTTGTCTAATATTCATGGCATATTCCGTAAACTTCCAAAATTGAAATAGCTAGTAAAATTCAATCCTTCTTGGGCATTCTTATTATTAGCAGTCATGATTGGTACACCAAATTGGCCACCTTTATTATCCAGTTGGGCAATTGGTATGTAATTGGTGATACCCATTTGCCTCATTCTGAAAAGAGTACTAGATTTACTTAAGTCTACAATAGGGATCACCATTGACATGTTATTGATTTCAGATTTGTGAGTAGATTTATGCCGATTGAATGCATCAAGACTTTGAGTAGCAAACTGACACAAGTGACACCTGTTAACATATTAAAACAGACTTTCTATGAATAAAATATAAATAAATAAATAATTATATTTTTTATTTTTTATTTTAAACCATATTTTAATCATATGCAAAAGAAACAATTACTTACTTATATGGAAATGAAACTGATTTATGTGCAATAGATAAATGTTCATACATTTTTTCAGAACTTGTATATGTTTTTGAACATATTTCACAAGGATAATACTTTTTTGGTTTATCAGGACCAGTTAAATCAACGGTATCCACACTCTAAGATAAAATAATTGTATATTAATGTAAATAAATTTACATAATTTTATGACAGTTTTTTCAGACAAATGTTAAATTTACAAAAATTATCAAATATTTGCTTAAACATTTGTATTGTTATTAATAAAAATCTTAACTTATTAGATTTCATCAATCTTATATCAATAAATAATTTAAATTTAAAGATTTTTTTGAACTGAAATAAATGTTAACTATTTCAAATAATAAATTATCAATATTTAATATGTATAAAATACATTTACATGAGCATAAACCCATAATGTTAACCAACTTAATCATTATCAATTACATGAAATAATTTATAAGTATGTATGTTAATAATATAAGTGGTAAATGTTAGGTATAATATTTATGTATATATAAAAATACTCTTATATTTACACAAATATTTTAATCAAAATGAATTGTATTATAATAACAAAACATTTGAAAAAATTACCTTGCTTGCTTATAAATATTGATTCTGATTCTTATGAATGAAAAATTATTTTTTAAATAATATTAAATACAAAATTTACCTGACTTGGTATATTACGGGGTACAGGTTTAGATACTGTATTAGAAACACTATTAGATACCTTATTAGGTACATTGCTAGATACCTTAAGAGGTGATGTAGGTATAATAGAAACAGCAGAGTTTAAGCTTAGTCCAGCAGGAATAGTTGAATTGTTTCCATTATCCACCTATGTATTTAAAACAATATATTAGTATCAATAATTTAAAATATATTTAAGTCAAAACCATAATTCAGTGCATTGAGTTAAGCACAAAATAACTTTACTTTGCCGAAGTTGTATTTTAAGGTGTTATTGCATCCACATGTGTAGTCTTCGTCTTATACACATACAATATAGTAAATGTTTGTTCACCAGTTTCAATACTGTGCTTTTAGTTATGATATTAAAGTGAATTGACCTATTATCAAACTTTTAGGTAAGAACATTATCTGTGTTGGTTTTTTATGATATTTTAATTTTAAAGTGAGTTATGTGTATGAAAAATATAAACGTTTGAAAATGACCATGATTCACTTAAAAATTATAATATTGTTAAAAACCAATAAGAGAACACAAATAATGTTCTTACCTAAAAGTTTGATAATAGGTCAATTCACTCTAATATCAAAAATAAAAGCACACTATTGAAACTGGTAAACAAAAATTTACCATGCCATATGTGTGTATGACAGAAACAACACATGAGAGTGTGACGTCCTTTTAACTCAATAATTTTATCTTATATGAACTTATAGAAACTAGTAACATGTTATTATGTAATATAAAAATATTATTAAAAGTTACAATCTAATAAAGCTTGATTTTATATCAACATAAAATAGAATGAAACTACAAAAATTACATGATTTTTAGGAACTAATTAATACTATCATAATCCACTAGAATACAAGTGCTAAATTTATTCAAATTAAGTAATTTCTTGAGTTGAAATGGTACAAGAGATAGACCATTACAATAGTAAATAAATAATTGAACTGTAATTTATAGCTAGCTTACATAAGCCAAACACTATGCCAGTTTCCTCGTACTAGAAACATTATTTAACCAATAAATTGAAAAAAAAAATGTATTAAGTAGAATTTATGATTTTAATTATTTAATATAAATGAGTATGTTCATTATTCAATAGCATATGCAAAACTATGGGCAGATCGGTCAGGCCATAAGCCTTACCTAATGTCAACGAGATATAAACTGTAGAATAAATGCAGTAAAGGATTAAAAAAATACAAAAAAACATTAACCTATATGGTAAATGGGTGCACATTTTTATCTTTATGAGTGAGCTATTCCTACTGAATAATGTATACAACTTTGATAAATAATCTTATATATTAATAAATCAATAAATACTAACATATTTTTATGTTTCTTTTTTTTAAATTCAGACTATTGGAAAAACCTCTTTATTCAGACAAAACAACATGAAGCTAATTTAGGTGTGTCCTAACAAAATGAAGTTTATTTTACTATAGACATAGACAGATCACTCATCCTTTCAACATTTTCATAAGTGTTTGAGATCTTCAAAGATATTATACTCGTGGACAAAACCAAGCTTTTATTTAAAATTTTTGGGCTTTGGCATATGCCTGCTATTATATTACTTTACTATTGATATTTTATAACTTACTAATGAATTAATATGTATTATAATAATAATATTAAATAATATTTTAATAATAAAATATATTATTATTATATTATTACAATTCAATATATTTTTTTTAATTCAAATATATAAATTTAGAAATAATAATATAAAGTTACCGTGCTAATAGTAAGCCCTCGTTTGGAAAATAAATTGACAACATCTTGTTGTGAAGCAGGAGAAACTGAATTTTTGGTTGCAGATTTGGTTAGAGATTCTGCTATGGATTTAACAATCTGAGGAGTCTTGTTCAAGGTAGTTGCATAGGAATTTCTAAATCAAAATGTTTAAATCTTGTAGTATTATCTATGTGAATACATAAATGTATCAACACTGCCCATCTTTTATCATTATAAAGTGAGCCAAACAAATCACTAAAGTTGCAATTTTGATGTTGAGTTATACTTTTTCAAAACACTATTCTTTAAAATATGTGACTAATTGACAACTTTTTAATTTAATGAAAAAAAATCATCAATTTCTTACTCATTATTTTAATTTAATTTATATTTCATAGCTATATAATGCATAGCTATAGATTGTAGAAAATTAACCCTTGTCAAGAATATACAACTAGAAAGTACATTAAAATCAAATATAGGTAGTGTTGACAACTTAATATGTTAAAGTTGAGCATAACAATAGAACATGGAATATTCTTTAGAGAATATGCAACTAACCTATCTAAGTTTGTACGTTTCATAGGCGGAGTTCCCCTCCTAGGAGTAGTTATTGGTCTTTTTAAAGAACTGCCTCTTGGAGTTGAATTTAAAGAAGCTGTTCTTCCTCCTATACAATTTAATAAATAATAAATAATTGCAATTAATAATAATATTATAATACTTTGAGACCCACTCATAGTTGATCCTCTTTGTACACTACGCCCTCTTGAAGAAATCATATGTGGCATGGTAGGCCTCATCATTGGACGCATGGTACGTTGCATAGGAACTGGCTGATTTGGCATCCTTAATGATTGTGTATATATACTAGGAGATAGGTTCTCAGGTAATGGTGGTACACCAGATTGCAATTGTTGATCAAAACCCATTGTAGGTAAACGTTGGACCTAATTATAACAAATCAATTCAAATAAATAAAAAGAAATATACCAAAATATATTATATCAATTCCATTAAAATAAATATTTGTTCAACATATACTATATTATAGAATACTTAATTTAAGATTTTTGATAAATTGAAATTAACTAGTATTAAAAAATAAAATATATTTATAACGTATTATGAATATGTTATTAATTTATTATTACCTGGTGTGCTAATTGCTGAACTGGTGATGGCATAATATTGTGAGCTAAACGTTGATGATCTAGGAATTCTTGTTGACTTGATACTACTAAGTGTTCACATTCTTTAAAAGAACATTTGAAATGTTTTGTAGTTACTTTATGATCATTTAATAATTCAGGAGAATCAAATTGTACACCACAAACATCACATGAAAAAAATGGTGGTGGAAAAGACCCACCATTTTGAGCTAAAAAATTTGGTGCCCTTTCTATTTGTACGGGTGGTGGCATATTAATTAGAATCGCAGTACGGGGATCAACTAAATCATCAAAAGAACGGACATTGATTTTAACCTTTTGCTCTTTAACTTGCTCTTTGACTTGCTCTTTGACCTGCTCTTTAGTTTCTTTCTTTTCAACACCATTTTGTGGTTGGGATACTTGAGTATTGTCATTTTCATCATCATCTTTTAAGACAACTATTTCACTTTCCAAGTCTGATTCTTTTAATAGTTCTTCTTTCAATGTTTTAAATCGTACCTTAGATTCCTCTTTCTTAACCACTGTAGAATTTTGAGGTAAATCTTCAGTTTTTAAATCTACTACTGTATTAATAGATACATTTTTCTCTTCAGATTTAACTGAAACAGCTGGACTAGGTCTTTCAGTAAATGATTCTTGAGAATCATCTGATAATATTTCTACATCACTGTCATCAAAACTATTAGCATTTTGAGACTCTCCTTCAGATTCTTTTTCATTTTCACCTTCATCAACAGAGGGTGATTTTTCAGAAGTTTTTTCTGGTTCAGAGTCCTTTGGATTTTCACAATCTTCTTCACCAGAAACACTTTCAGCTGTAGGTGGAAGTCTTCTTACAACCTGAAATTAATTAAAATATATATAATTTAATAAGAAAAAAGAAGAATTATATAATAGAAATCGAAGGCTTAAAATAAATATAAACTCAAATATAACATAAAGTTTCTCACTTCAAATGATTGGGTGGATTCCCTGGAAGAACTACTGCTACATGACCTTGTTTTTTTTAAAGTCACTTTGATTGATGACCCAGCCAATTCTAATGGAGTTGATACTGCTGTAGGTATATTTTGATCATCTTCTGAATAATTTAATTACAAAAAAAAAAAAAAAATGAATCAATATTAAAAATTAAAATTTGGCTAAAACATATACTTTGCTTAAATACATTTGATGATTTTAAATTAACGTAAATACGAATTAAAAATTAAGCCTGCACCACATTAGGAAGTTTTTGGTATTAAAATTACAAATGTTATTAATTTGCATTGAATAATATCAAAATTGTGTAAATATTATGTTTTCAAGCTTTTTAACAAAGAAATAAAATATTGCCACTAGTAAAACTAATATCTAAATTCTTAAATCAAAATAAGTTATTATTGATAATCAGTACATAATTTTATAACATTACTGATTTCAAATAAACATTTTTTTTCTAATAATATTTTATAGTAATTATTTTATACAACTACTGTTTTAATCAGTAATCTTTAAATAATTTTTTAAAACAACAACAATAATAATCATGATGCACAGAATAAATAAAAAAAAAATAATATACATTATTGCAATGATTATTATTTATTGTTAATTAGTGTTAGACTAATAATGAAGTTTAAAAAAAAAATTATAATAATGAAAAGTACTTTTAAATAAAAATTAAATCAAATTACCTTCACTCTCCGGATTTGAACAATTAGAGGACGACTTACTGTCAGGTTTCATTTTTGATTTTTCATTTCCTGTTATAAATAATTAAATATTAACATTATTATGAAAAAATCATGAACTAAAGCATAATCTTTATTGAAGAGTATTTTTAAAAATCTACCACAATTAACAAAAAACAATAATTAATACCACATGTAAGTTGATAAAATATATTTTTATCACAAATATAAAATCAATCACCACTTTGGTTATGATTCAACAAAGTAACTACATAGATTTATAAATACCACAGATGTTTTTATCTTGAAATTATAATTAAAATTGCATGGTATTATAATTCATTATATAAAAAGAAATATTCTGGGAGTACCGTAATCTGAATAAAAGCTCATTCCCGGATTGCACAAAGTAGAACCGTGCACCTTACTTAGCTAGAAACACTAAACATTGTTTTATCAAATTTTGGTTTGTAATACATTATGAACCTTGCGCATTGTTAAGACTTGTAAAAAAAATGGCTAAAAAAAATTTCAGTTAACTTTCACAAATGTGATTTAATTATCTAATAAAAGCAAAAAATAAATTCCTGACAAAAATTTGATGGAAAGATGTTTGTGGCATCCAGCTCTATACAGTTTGACAAAACACCTTGTGGCCTATTATTTATTCGAACACATAGAGAAGAAACAGTTTAATCCAGAGATTCCTTAATTTTTTCAGCCAGGGAACCTTTTTTCCAGCAGTTTTTTTTCGTGAAGTTCATATTACACATGATATGAATATAGAAACAAGAATAATAAGATATTTATTAATAAATGAAACAATAGTATTAATAGAACTGGAGAAAATATTATTTATTGTTTAAAATTTATGTCTACAAAATAAGTATAAATCTATAATATATTATTATATTATAGCAAAGTTAATTAAAAAAACAATGTTATGTGTACACGTCTTAAAGTATCTTTGTGCGATGCAATGTACTTGCTTTTTGAGACAAAGTTTATCAATGTCCGATGTCACAGAAGCTTATTAAAGACGCATAATATCCTCTAATAATTGTTTAATTATTAAATTTTTATGGTAAAACGAACGAAGACCTTGAGAAACAAATGCGGAGCCCTAAGTATTCTACAGAGCATAGTTTGGGAATCGCTGGTTTAATCTATACAACAAATGTAATAGCTTTCACTAGAAAGCAGATTTTTAAGTTTTTCAATTATATTTTACTAGTTGATTCGACAGACGTTGTCCTGACCCAACTACGATTAACTGTGAACTGTAATCGATTTCCACATAATAATAAAATGCAACTCAATAGGAATTAAACGCAACATCTTTTTGTTGTCGATTTTGATTAAATTGATTTCATACCACGTTTTGCGTTAATTGTCAGTCTGACCTGTTTATTTTACTATTAAAAACCAACTGTATTAAAATCCTATTTGACTGAATAAAAAAAAATTAAACATAAAAGGTCGAGACTATATTTAAAAAAATACCTTCATTGTATCTAAATGTATCTGTTTTTTACTACATTTACAAATCACAAAATAAAGCACTAACCAGAGTTGTTTGCTCTATTTCTACTTGGATTTTTATTTTGATTTTTCTTCTCTTTTTCTGAATCCATTGTACACGTTCTTGTATAGACCATTTACTTTTTGTTTTGAAAAGTCCTTTTATTCACATAAAACAATAAAATAAAAATTTTTTTAATTTAATAATGATAAATTAATAATGTTGGAGTATTTAGCTAATTGGTCAGTAAAATTGATTGATAAGCAAATATTAGAGTAGAATTTCAGATTATATCAATGCGTTCTAATCGTAGAAGCAGATGCAAATACCACAAAATAATCAGAACTTCTGATGCGATCTCGTCTAAGTATATGGTTGAAAATCACTCTGGTAGCAGACAGATAATCCAAAACTATTAGATAACTAGGGCAGTAGACCCTACTTATGATTTGCAACACATTTACTGAGGAAAATTTTACAAGAATCGTTGAAACACAAGCAGTACAGTAATATAATTTTAACACATAAGTATTTTATTATAAATTTAATAATAATAGTGCCGAGAAATGGAGTATGGGGTAGGTGGATACCAATACTAATATCCATTGTACACGAACATCCCGAAACGAAAAAAAGATGAACGAGTCACAACAACCAATATCAATAAAAGAATCTACAAAAAATGTATATTAAGTAACAATTACGTATAATCATTTAAAAATCTCGAAACACGGTCGATAAGAATTTCCAGGATAAAGAAGTTTGATTCACCCGAAATTGTCGTACGATCATGTCGCGATACGATCCAGACACCACACTAGGAGATACAGTTCGGGCGGACCGTCGATCGACTTTACCAGCTTACCTTTTTTATCGTTATGTTTATTAAGTCAGGTTCCATGTGCCAGTGCAGATGTTCACGCACACTCAAAAGACATGTGACAACGATGATTAGGTGTGATTATTTAAACGAACGACGAAAGACTCCGCCGTAGGAGTCGATCGGGTACACGCGCACGATACACAATATTTTTAATTTTTAATATTAAATTATCTTTATTAGTTGTTTTTCACGTATCATTATCAACGGCGGCGGCAAGAATAATAATTATCATAATGTGCCGGAGAGGAGAGCACAATAATAATAGTAATAGTAATAATAATAATAATAATAATAATAAATTGTTAACGACGACGAGGACGAGCGGCGGCGTGATATCTGGCCCGAAACCAGACCGCCGACAAATGACAATCGATATGCGCGGACGAACGCGCAGGCGCGACACCGTACACGATAAAAACCTAAAAACCACAAAAGGGAAGTCGTCAACGGAAAAGAAACACTGACGCCGAAGCGAACGCGGAACGACGGACGAAGAGCAACGGCTCACGGGCGGACTCGGCGGAGCGAGTCGTGAGACTACGACGGCGCACGAAGTGTACCGGCCAGAGACGCGAAATCAAGAGCGCCGCCCGGTGACCGCGTCCGACGGACGAGTGCTGCTCACTGCTCACTGCTCCGGTCGGGAGTTCGGGACGAGTGTCGCGCACTGTCCCGAACGCCGTCGCGTCGCCCACCGCAGCGCCTTTCCGGCCAGGCGTTATTGAGCATTTGAGCACGCATAGGCCGTGCGCGCCGCGAGTTTGCCGCCACATAGTACATTGTCGTTTCGTCGCGTGTTCTTGCTCGGTTGTGCGCGCGCGCACCGCCGCCGCCGGCCGACCCGAGCGCGCGCGTCCGTGCCGATCACCGGGCGTCGCGGGGGGGAGGGGAGAGGGGCATTGTGATTCGTGAACAACAATATC